AAATTTAACTACGCCAGGTATCATGAATATATTCTAACACAACCACAGTAAATGTTAGCAGTGGGTGATTCTGACCAGTATTTTGAGATAACTTCAAACAAATGCAGAACACGGGTCCATTAGGCATAAAAAGCTATAGCGATCCCAATCATATCTATCAGGAATTTTTTATACACCTAATGTTTTTCCTTCAAAGGGAAGAAAAAAAAACAAGACAGCCTAACCATAAATATGCTCAACCTCTTGATCAATACCTACTATAAATAATAAAAGGTAAAAAAGTTTTAACATGTAAATAACTGTAGGTGGCATGGTTTTTTCTTTTGACAACTGGGGGATTACCAGTTAGTATCACTAATGCCCTTACTGCCTGAAGAGCATTTATCTCCACTATTCTCTAAACTTAAAACATCTGCCCTAATAAACAATCTAATCACATCACCATGTTGTACACTCACATGGCCCGAATGCACCAGGATCATGTGCACAGCTGCAATAGGGAACCATGAAACCACAGTAAATATTCATTCTTTTCACAATTCAGTTCGTTATAAAATTAATGCTGCCTCGATCATAAACACATGATAAAATACCATAATTCAAAGTAAGTGATGAACCCATTCTGAGCAATCAGGCCATGCCCATGGCTGGTCAGCAGGGTGGAGCTGGTGTGACAATGCCAGGCTGGACCTGCACTGCTTCCTACACTAAGGCCATTTTAAACCCTGGGCAGCCTGATCTGCTACAGTTGGCTGACAAGATAGCTTCCACTAGCTCTCCTTTTTTGGAACCTCTGATTATATGATCTACCACTGTGTAAATTAAAATTTTTATTTATATCTTATGTATTAAACATGTTCCATGTGAATGAAATTCTGCACTAATTATGAATAAACAGAGTAAATCCAAAATATTTCTAATAAACTGAAGAGCTTTGCTTTAAGCCTTTTCAGCCAGCAGATGTAGCTGTGAATTAAAATAGGGAATGCAAGCTGCTCTTGGTCAGCCACTAGATGGCACCCTTTCCTATGGAAGTGGTTTACATTGGAGATTTAATACAATTCAACTATTTTGACACTGGATTGATTCTGATTTACATGCATTTATCTAGAATGATCATCTCAATTACTTACTGAGTGCACAGACCGCAACCATTTTTGCGCAACATTTTTTGACTAAAACTTTTCATTCCTCATAGACACATGACATTTCCTAATGAGAGGAAGTAAACAGCGATAACAGTTCATCACTGGGGGCTTCCCTGGTGGCACAGTGGTTGAGAGTCCACCTGCCGATGCAGGGAACAAGGGTTCGTGCCCTGGTCTGGGAAGATCCCACATGCCGCGGAGCGGCTAGGTCTGTGAGCCACGGCCGCTGAGCCTGCGCGTCTGGAGCCTGTGCTCCGCAACGGGAGAGGCCACAACAGTGAGAGGCCCACGTACAAAAAAAAAAAAAAAAAGTTCATCACTGGAATCAGGGCAACCTCATCAAAACTCTCTAAATGCAGGGCTTCCCTGGTGGCACAGTGGTTAAGAATCCTCCTGCCGACGCAGGGAACAAGGGTTCGAGCCCTGGTCTGGGAAGATCCCACATGCTGCGGAGCAACTAAGCCCGTGCGCCACAACTACTGAGCCTGTGCTCTAGAGCCCACAAGCCACAACTACTGAGCCCACGTGCCATAACTACTGAAGCCCGCACGCTTAGAGCCCGTGCTCCGCAACAAGGGAAGCCACGACAATGATAAGCCCGTGCACTGCAACGAAGAGTAGCCCCCGCTCACCGCAACTAGAGAAAGCCTGCACGGAGCAACAAAGACCCAACACAGCCAAAAAAAAAAAAAAAAAATTAATTAATTAAAAAAACAAACAAACAACTCTCTAAATGCAGAACCGAAATATACCACATTGCTTTCCACAAGCCTCAGGGCAAGGTCATATAATAAGAATTTCCTTGGAAAGTCACCCATAACGCTTAAAAACCTATGCCTTATATACTAACAGTCCACTGCGGAGCGCTGTCTTAGTTCAGTGCCAGGCTCAGGGTAGGCCCACAAATGTCTTTTGAATAAATTAATAAACACGACTGCTTTTAAAAGATGTGTCCTAAAAAAGTATCAGTAGGTTCATTTATCTGTGAGACTTCTCAGATGTGGAAATCAAACTGATATGCCTAATGACTTACCAGTAGGGAGAGGTTATTTGCATTCTCTCTTTTTGGTTAAAGACATGAAAATGCAATATAAAAGGATTCCAAGTCTCCATACATTCAACAGTGCCAATCAGAAAAGAATCCCACCCCCAAACATTTTATTTGGGTAATAATCCTCTTATCAGTGCCATAAAACAAAAAATTTCACATTCTAGAAACTAAAATAGCACAGTCTAGCCCATAAAGCCCAAGTTCTCAAGCATATAATTCAAATAACCTAATTTTGTTGGTCTATGAAAATTTGGATTGATTCATTATGACTCTTCTAAATCAAAGACTGTTCATATTTTCAAATACCTTAAAACTTTACTACTCAATTTATGACCTACGTTACTGAACTCTAGAAACATTACCTATGAATTCCATGCGCTCAATATGAAGTACTAACAGACCGTCATTTGAATAGAAACCAAAAGCTTAATAACTTTATTATTATTTGCATGCCCCTCCCCCAAAGCAGATTTCATATGTAGTCAAGGAAGTTTTGTGTACTCCTAGGCAGTTGTGCTTTATAGTCAGCATAAATTAATAAAAATAAAATCTAGGACTATTTTTAAAAAAGCAGTATTATTGTCAAAGCAATACATATTTAAGAATTACACAGAAAAGTAAAATACAAAACTCACCCACACGCCCATAATTCTTTCACATATTATCACCAAACATATTTCCTCCCAATATTTTCCATTTGTTTTCAAATAACTGCTCTCATATGAGAAAAGAATGGCTGGTCCTATACGAGACTGAAGTCAATTGTGATGTTGGGAGGTCCACACTGAAGATACCCAGTAAAACCTGTCAAATGATCAAGACTGTGTGGATCATTCCACAGTCAAAACCAGATTCACCACCTCCTTCCCCATGCCCCTTCCACATACTCCTTTATTTCCCACCTTAGCTAAGGGAGGTAAAATTGAAGACGAACCAGGTTCTGCAGACCATCAGACTTAGCTTCAAATCTTGACTCTGCCAATTACAAGCTGTGTGACTTAACCTGAGTCCCTATTTCCTCATTTATAGAATGGGGGATATTAACACCTACTTCATAGTTGTTGTGAGGATTAAATAATCTGCTATGTCTAAAATGTCTGGCACAATGCCTGAAATGGAAGAAGAGATTGTATATTGGTCAAAGCAAAATTGAGGTAACAATAAAAATCATCAAAAATCTCCAGTCATGGGTTTTCTAACTTTTTTCAAGTAATCCCCACTTTATTATTACAAACAATGAGTAGCAGGCAGTTACTTAAAAAATAAAGGTTACTCAGACTAGGAAAAAAGCAACATCTGTTTGTCTATCAGTATATTTTAAGTGAAAAGTACAATAATGCCTATGTAGTTATGATTAAACTAAATGTGAAAAATTCAATAATAATAATACCTATTACTCCAGCAATTCCCTCTCCCTTGCATCAATTCCCCCCTCCACTGAATCACTCCTATCAGCACGCACACATGCTGTTAATTCTCCCAACTTTAAAAACAAACAAACAAACCTCTCTTGATCCCACTCCCGCTTCTAGCTACGACCCCATTTCTTTCTTTCTCTTTACAGCAAAACTCAAGACTTGCCCATACACACTGCCTCCAAGCTCTCTCCTCCATTCTCCTTCGGATCCACTCCACTCAGGCTTTACCCACGAATGACCACCACATCTCAGTGAACTCCCAGTTCTCATCTTACATGACTGATACCCAGCATCCTCCTCCTTGAAAGATGTTTTTTCACCTGGCATCCAAGTCACCATTCTCCTGGTTTCCCCTCCTTCTTCAGCAGGGAAACCGCCTCATTCCTCAACCTCTAAACCTTAGGAGCTCCTAAACCAAGAGCTCCTTCCTCAGACCTCTTCTCTTTTCTCTCTACATTCACTGCCTATGTGAGCTCATCTGATCTCATGGTTTAAATACTATCCACATACTGATTTAGATCTTCACCTTGACCTGTCCCCTGAATTCCAAATTCTATATCTAACTGCTTGCTTGACTCTCCACTTGGCTATCTAAAATCTACCTCAAACTCATAAGTCCCAGACTGAGCCCCTGACATGATCCCCTGATATCTGCTCCTTTCACACTGGTCCCATCCATTGACCAGTCGTTCAGACCAAAAGCCTGGAGACATCCTTGACTTGATTTTTTCTCTCACCTCCCACATTCAATTTATAACAAGTCCTTGTTGCCCCTACCTTCGAAATATATCCAGAACCTCTTGTCATCAACTCTACTTCTGCCACCCATTCTAAACCACCACCAATTCTCACCTGTCACAAAGAGCCTGGTCCACAGAACTTCCTACCAGTAGTTTAAATAAAAAGAAGCCAAATATTCCGAATGTACAGCTTTTTAGCTTGGAGTATAAGTTACACACACACAGGTACTAGGCTCTTTTTCCAATAATGTGTAAACACATTAATAATTTAAATAATAATTTTAAAATGCTTTATTTTACAATGATGTTTATATATATGGATGTCAAACAGCATAGAAAGTTGTTCCAAATTATTTTACTGAACAAGTAGCTCCCACAAATTTATACAAAATGAACATCTGCTATGCATTAGTCATTACTTAATTATATTTGAAGTTTCACCACCCTTATATATTTAAATTATTTATATGATTTGCTAGTAATGAGAAGCTGCCTAGTTATTAGTAAAAATTTAGTCAATTCTCTGTCATCACCTCACAAGATAGTGAATAAACTGCATGCAAATTTGAAAATCTGGAAGATTTAGACCACACAAAGTAGAATAAACATTCCAGATACCACTTATAGGACTGCAGTTACTTACACTGTGAACTCCTAAAGCCTTCCAGACTGCGAAGCTGATCACACCAACTCCACACCAGGCATAAAGTGAGCCCCACCCCAGAGCTCGCAAGGCAAGGGAAGACCCGCTCTCCGGTAAGGCAGCCGTGGCCACACTTCCCTGCAATGAAGACACAAAGGTTCTGGTAAAAATCATCATTCTGAAAGAATAAATATTTGGAAAGTGTTTGAAATTAATGACTCTCTGTGTCAGCACCATGATACTAGGAAGCCAGACCAACCCAAGTTAATACACTTAATAACTACATGACTTAAGTCACAACTGCTCTGACAAATATTTGAGTGGGCAAGGCACCGTGCCAAGATCCGTGCTAGGTACACAGAGCAACTTCTTTCTGAGAGAACACTTAAGACCTGGTGAGGGAGGGGGGAAACACAGACAACCAGAAGTAAATTATGATCTAAATGGAAAGGGCAACAACAGAACTGCATATACGTACAGGGCACTGTGTACCCAGAGAAGGAGGACACCTGATCTACTTGCAAGAAGGGGGAGTTTTAAGGAAAGCTTCCTGGAAGAGGTGTGCTAAATCTAAATTTGAGAAAAGACTTGTGATATAACTCATTGTGAGGACTTCTAAATATTTATGCAAAATGCCTGGCATATAGTAGAAATTCAGCTCCTGGCAACTATTAATGAGAAACTAGAAAAAAACAGTAACTCTCCTCCCAAGTGTCAAGTTATAATATTAAGGTAAAAATCTACAATGATACTAACTGAACAGCTTTCAGACCATCAGCATAACGAACTTGACCAGAGAAGAATAAGAATGCAACGAGCACTTCAAAAAGGAATCACCGAGGGAGATCCCTGGTGGTCTAGTGGTTAGAATTCCAGGCTTTCACGGCTGTGGCCTGCGATTATGGAAGTGAGATCCTGCGGGCAAGGCCAAAGGAAAAAAACAAAAGAATAACTGCCCCCATTATGAAATGTGCTGAGGTTGGGGGAGGGGTGGGTGCACTGTAAAAAGAGATACTCGGAGGAATGGTGTACTAATTTCTAAAGTCTCTTCTAATTCCATGACTTAGTAATTTATGAATTTATTTATTTTTATTTATTTATTATTTTTGTTTGTGTTGGGTCTTCGTTGCTGCGTGCAGGCTTTCTCTAGTTGAGGCAAGTGGGGGCTACTCTTCGTTGCGGTGTGTGGGCTTCTCTTGTTGCCGAGCACAGGCTCTAGAGCACGCAGGCTTCAGTAGATGTGGTGTGTGGGCTCAGTAGTTGTGGCTTGTGGGCTGTAGAGCACAGGCTCAGTAGTTGTAGCACACGGCCTTAGTTGCTCCGCGGCATGTGGGATCTTCCCAGAGCAGGGCTCAAACCCATGTCCCCTGCACTGGTGGGCAGATTCTTAACCACTGCGCCACCAGGGAAGCCCCATGTTTAAAATGAAAGCTGACAGTGTATTTTTATTTAAAGATTTAAACTCTGAAATAAAAAAGATACTCCTCCACTACACTGGTCAGACACTCATTGGAGGACAATATCTAGGGTCATTGTCTACTAATTTAGGTTAGAAGGAGCTCATAATAAAACAACAAAACAGTAAAGCTCTGACATGAAGGGAGCTAATTTAATTTTTTGTAAAGTATGGTGATATTCTATGGATGTGGTGAGCTCTTTCTCCATATCTATTGTTTCATGAATAAAACTGCACAAGTGGCATTCACATGCTAAATGTTTCTATTTACTATTGATACTAACGATTAAATTACATTGATCAGAAGGACCAAAACCACATTTTTCCTTATACTGTTAAAGGACCATTAATCTTATTTTTAAATGAGATTAATTTTTAAATAAGATTGCAGGACTGCAATCTCCCAGGGATCCTGTATTTCCAAATACTATATCACAGTTAATAATTTTATATATATATATATATATATATATACACACAAAATTATATATATATTGCTCCCTTACTATACGACAGCACTGTTCAAAGCATTTTGCATATAGTAATTCATTAAGCATTTTACTTCACCTTACTCTGTGAGACATGTACTGTTATCCTCATTTTACTAAAGACCAACTAAAGTAGAGAGAGATTAAATAACTTGTTCAAGCTTTCACGGCTTATAAAAGCTAGAGCACTTCAGCAGCCTGGCTTTACAGACTAAGTGGAATTTGCCATTCAGTCATTTATCACTTCTGCTTCTAAATACAACACAATACAAAATGTAAATGAAAGTCTCTTTTTAAGTGGGAACAAATCATAGTGTAAATTAGAATAAAAACATCATTACTTAGGATAATTCAAATATTTACACTACTGGAAGTAGAGAAAGAAGTGATAATACTTATGGGCCTACTTGAAATGTAACCAAGGGGCATTCACTTATTCCTATAGTTTGACATGAATATGAAATGTAATTTATCTTTAAAAATTTTTTTAAAGGAGACTGTAGAATTTAGGAAATATTAAGAATTTATTATTTTTCCCTGTGAGCCTGCTAAAACACATTAAACATCAACAAACAAAAACAGTCAGAAACAATAAAAACTTGAACTTCCTTAAAAGTTGTATCTTATTTTTTTCTGATTATATACCATTGTGGAAAATTTGGTGTGTATGAGAAAGCATAAGAATGAATGAAGAAAACCTCCATTTTATTATCCAGTAAACCATGTTAAACATTTTGACATATTCTCCCTCTATCTGATTGTGGACATTTTAAAAACAACTTAACACCATTAAAATATTTTTAATCTCCAACTTTCATCCTCTCATTGTGTCAAAAACTCAAATATTTTTACTGGTTACACGGCACTGACTTATCGTAATTTACTTAGCCATTTGTTATTAATGTATGCTACTTTCACTTTTTTATATTAATTTTTATATTAAAAACTTCTTTGTGCCTAAACACTGACTTGCATTTCTGATTAAGTCCTTGGGGAAAGTTCCTCAAAGTAGAATTATTAAGTGGAGAAGCATGAATATTTTATAAGCTGATAAACACTACAAACTGTTTTTCAAAAGGCTAAGTTACAATGCTGTTTTATGAGGACCATTTCAAGTTGGCCTGCATTAGATGGTCTCAGTAAAAATAAAAACACAAAAAAAGAAACCTTTGAAATTTATATAAGACTATTTATTTTCTTTGTGGTACGCGGGCCTCTCACTGTTGTGGCCTCTCCCGTTGCGGAGCACAGGCTCCGGACGCGCAGGCTCAGCGGCCACGGCTCACGGGCCCAGCTGCTCCGCGGCATGTGGGATCTTCCCGGACCGGGCACAAACCTGTGTCCCCTGCATCGGCAGGCGGACTCTCAACCACTGCGCCACCATGGAAGCCCTATAAGACTATTTATAACTTAACATTTCTATTGTTACTGAGAACGAGTATTTGTCCAAGTTATTATAAGCCAATGTTCACATCTTTTGAATTGCATATTCATGTTATTTGTCCATTTAAAGTTTTCTGACTTGTATATTCTTTCTATATTAATGTTCTTTGAAGCCCTTATACCTATCATATGTGCTATCATATTTCCCTAGTTTGGTTTGCTTTTATCCTTTTATTTTGCTTATTGTTTGTTTGTTTTTGGTCAAAAATGCATTCTAATGCTTTTAAACTTACTAAAATTTCCCTCATCTGGAAATTGGTTCAGGATGGCAGAGTAGAAGGACATGCATTCAATCCCTCTTGCGAGAGCACCGGAATCACAACTAACTGCTGAACAGTCATCGACAGGAAGACACTGGAACTCACCAAAAAAGATACCCCACATCCAAAGACAAAGGAGAAGCCACAATGAGATGGTAGGAGGGGCACAATCACAATAAAATCAAATACCATAACTGCTGGGTGGGTGACTCACAAACTGGAGAACAATTATACCACAGAAGTCCACCCACTAGAGTGAAGGTTCTGAGCCCCACATCAGGCTTCCCAACCTGGGGGTCCAGCAACAGGAGGAGGAATTCCCAGAGAATAAGACTTTGAAGGCTAGCGGGATCTGACTGCAGGAAACAGAGACTCCACTCTTGGAGGGCACACACAAAGTAGCGTGCACATCGGGACCCAGAGGAAGGAGCAGTCTCCCATAGGAGACTGAACCAGACCTACCTGCTAATGTTGGAGGGTCTCCTGCAGAGGTGGGGGGCTGCTGTGGCTCACCATAGGGACAAGGACACTGCCAGTAGAAGTTCTGGGAGGTACTCACTGGCGTGACCCCTCCCAGAGTCCACTACTGGACCCACCAAAGAGCCTGTAGGCTCCAGGGCTGGGTCACCTCAGGCCAAACAACCAACAGGGAGGGAACTCAGCCCTACCCATCAGCAGTTTTAAAGTTTTACTGAGCCCTGCCTACCAGAGCAACACCCAGCTCTACCCACCACCAGTCCCTCCCATCAGGAAACTTTCACAAGCCTCTTAGATAGCCTCATCCACCAGAGGGCAGAGAGCAGAAGCAAAAAGAACTACAATCCTGCACCCTGGGGAATGAAATCACATTCACAGAAAAACAGACAAAATGAGAAGGCAGAAGATTATGTACCAGATGAAGGAACAAGATAAAACACCAGAAAAACAACTAAATGAAGTGGAGATGACAACCTTCCAGAAAAAGAATTCAGAATAATGATAGTGAAGATGATCCAGGACCTCGGAAAAACAATGGAGGCAAAGATCAAGAAGATGCAAGAAATATTTAACAAAGACCTAAAAGAATGAAAGAAAAAACAAACAGAGATGAACAATACAATAACTAAAAGGAAAAGTACACTAGAAGGAATCAATAGCAGAATAACCGAGGCAAAACGGATAAGTGACCTGGAAGACAGAATGGTGGAACTCACTGCCATGGAACAGAATAAAGAAAAAAGAATGAAAAGAAATGAAGACAGCCTAAGAGACCTCTGGGACAACATTAAACGCAACAACATTCGCATTATAGGGGTCCCAGAAGGAGAAGAGAGAAAGGACCTGAGAAAATATTTGAAGAGATTATAGTTGAAAACTTCCCTAACATGGGAAAGGAAATAGCCACCCAGTCTAGGAAGCGCAGAGAGTCCCAGGCAGGATAAACCCAAGGAGAAACACACCAAGACACACAGTAATCAAACTGACAAAAATTAAAGACAAAAAGAAAAATTA